CAGGAACTTTGTCGAAGCAAGAAAATACAAGAGAAAAGTCTTATTGCATCAATATCAAAGTGTAGTAGTACTGAAAATCAAGATCAATATAACATTGCTTCAACATCCTTAACATGTTATAAATTTAATTTTATATTTAGAATAAAATTTAGATTTATGATATAAATCATATTGGGTAAAATATAAAATAGAAATGCTTGAAAATTTTTTAATTTTAAATATAGGCTAGACATTAGCCTGAAAATTTTTTTTACAGAAATCACCAGGCCTGATTAAAAAACCAAGTTAATGCAACTTTCATTGATTTTATTTTTAATTGAATTATGACTTTTATATATTTTATTTCAGTTCTTAACTAACAAAATTACTATGGTCTTTGGCAGGCTTAAGAAAATTTTCCCAACTATATAGTTTTCAGAGATTTACCTATCTCCAGGCTTGGGAAAAAATTACAAAATTATTATGGGTTGGCCAGGTTTGAGAAAAAAAATTTCAGGCCAATGTCTGGTACATATTTAAAATTAAAAAATTTCAATATTTTAAATTTTATCTAATATGATTTCTATCACAAATTATAATTTTATTCTAAATATAAAATTAAATTTAAGATATTATTAAATTACAATAGAAATAAATGGAATATAAAATTAAATTTAAAACATTGTTATTAAATTACAACAGAAATAAATGGCAAAATTTTATGAAAGTTGCATGGGACGTTTTTTGATCAGGCCTAGCTATGTCTGCAAAAAAAAATTTCAGGTCAATGTCTACCCCATATTTAAAATTAAAAAATTCCCAAGCATCTCTATTTTAAATTTTATTCAATATGATTTCTATCACAAATTTAAATTTTATTCTAAATATAAGATTAAATTTAAGACATTATTATTAAATTACAATATAAATAAATGGCAAAATATTGGGTAAGTTGCATGGGACGTGGTTTTTTGATCAGGCCTGCTGTGTCTGCAAAACAAAATTTTGAGACCAAAGAGCCCATATTTTTAATTTTACCCAATATGATTCCTATCACAAATATTTTGATATTTCTAATACCCTTAATGCTCACGGTTTACATTGCAACAATTTTATATCTTTTTCTCCTAATACTAAAAAGCATATTTAGTACTAATTACCCCTCTACCCCGTCATTCTTGACGGGTTATTAGCTAGTAATTAAATAAAATGTTAAGTTTTATTATCATAATCTATTAATTATTCGAGAAACATTTCATTAGTTTGTCCAACTTATTAATAAAAGGAAAAAATAAAGTTTGATTATTATCAAATTGATATTTGTTCGTCTACCCTGCATTTCATGTTAAATATACTAGAAATTTTGTTTTCAAATAATTTTTATTTGTCTTTCCCTTGTAAAGAAAAAAAATAACAGAAACCCCTTTTTATTGCAAAATTAGGCATTACTGGTTATTTTTTTTAAAGGTTACATTTTAATTCCTTTTCTAAATCTATAAGCCTACGTTTTCCAAAACCATGGTTGCAGGGATTTCTAGCAATGTTTTCCGGTGAAATATATTAAAAATATTATATTGAGTTATTCTTTAATAAAATTTATTTAAAGGCATAAGATGTCTCCTAACTTAAACCATTGTTAGAACAAAGATTAGATCATGTTTCATAGATTGTATAAGAATTTAGATTAATACAAATAAATTAAAATTAGTAAAACATCGTATTTATTGATATTCTTCTGACATAATAATTTTTTTTAAAATTTGGATAAGAAACATTTCAGTTATGATTATTTTAATAGTAGTATCCCTTAGCAGAGTCAGAGCACGGTGTCAATTTTTATTTATATATTTTTATTTGAACCTTATTTAAATATAGATTTATTCAATTATAAATGTGTAATTTTTAACAACCCTAAATGTATAATTTTTATAAGAACCCTAAAAATGCATATGATAATAATAAAATTATCATAAATATTTATGTAGCATTTCTATCACAAATTGAGCAATTCATTCTTGAATTTGGACAGTTATTCAAACAAAAAGTGCGGACTTCTAAAAATAATTGTTTTTTTTTGTAAAATAATTTAATAATCCATTTTCATTTTCTATTACCATCTCTAACATAGGTTCTTAAACGTCTGAGTTGTTGAACCCGCTCATAAATAGTTTGACCCATTCCTAATTGTGGATCAGCATTCCCTAATGATCAAATATAAATAAATTAAGCAAGTTTGTAAATTATTTTATGCTTAAATCAAAAATTTGAAAGAAGAGCATTTATCAATAAGCGCGTATACTCATTTATACAAAACTATCAAAAAAAAACATATAAACATTTTATTTAAAATCATCTTAAATACTATCTAGGATATTTGTGAATGCTAACTTCTCATATTGAGATCCTTCCAGAAATTGATAGATTTCCATGGCAAATGAACAATATATATATATTGGCCAATGTAGGATTTTCGGTAAATTATAACATATTTGAAGCCTGAAAATATCTGAGCCCAAACCTCACGGCTCGTTTAGAGCACCTTCAAAAATAGCTCGACATCGCATCACGCTACTTAAATTACAAAGTGTAATCATGTAATTTTACAGCTGTACAATTGATGTAACAAGTGAATAAACGGGAAATCAATACCCCATATTGAATTTATTAATTTTCCTAAATATTATTCATAAATTTTTAATAACCATGTATGCACCGGCAAAAAATTATTCAAAAAGTCTGGTAAAATTTGTAGTAACAAAAAGGCACCAGTAAGCTATTCTATCTTTTATCCATGATCCTTATATCGCTTTATCATCATCACGGTTGTTATGAGGCCTTATAGAATTTTCTAGGGGTTCGAACCGAACCCGGGTTTTTGGGAAAAAATTTGAACCCGAACCGAACCTAAACCCCTTTTTATAAAATTTTCGAAACCCCTAAACCGAATCGAACCTGGGAACAGTGTAATGCTTAAAATATAAGATATTTGTATAATTGTAAATAATAATTTACTTGATATTTTATAATATTTTTCAATTAAGTGAAGTGTTAATAAATTTTAAACAACTTAATTCATTTACTCCATTTTTAAATTTATTCTCAAAGATTCGTATTGGATTGTTAATAAATTTCAAACAATTGAATTCATTTACGCCATTTACAAGTCAAAGTTATTATATTGGATATTGTTAATTTAAAGTAATACATCTAAATAATTTTTAAATCTATACATGACTATGCTTTGTATTTTTAACTATATTTTGCCTATAAATAAAATAAAAAATTTATGTCTAGTTTTTTAATTTTGATATAATAAAATATTTTTTTTTATCAATTTAAAAATTCTTAAGCCCAAGCTGAACCCGGGTTCAAAAATATTTCCCTGAACTTAACCCGGGCAAAAATTTTGACGGGTTAGAATCCCTGATATATTCACTCAAATTAGTTATCATTTATTTCAAAAAATCAAATTTTTTTCAATTTATTATAATAATTACCTTCAACTTTGGAATATAAAGTTGCTAATAAGAAAATTGTTAAAAAAGAAACCAACATTTTTTTTAAATATGATAAATTATAAAGTTTAAAATGAGATTAAACAAAATTTCTAATTTATTAATATTAATGGATTTTAAAATGATGTTGAAATTTTTTAATCTTAAAATAATTAAATTTATATTACTACTTATTGTTTTTTGTATGTTTAAGAAGAAAATGTAATAAATTATATAATATAAAAAATTAAATTAAAAATTTTTTTAAATTAGATTTAAAAAATGCATTGCTTGGTAAGGTTAAAATTATTTTTTTAAGTAATTTACCTTGAGGTTGTACGCAAATAACTTAGTAATATTCTTAATGTAAATATTTTCCACACACGTATGTACTATCGTCTCTACTTTAGATTTTATGGGTTTTACCAGAACAATATTATAATCGATAATAAAAATATTATCAAATTTTATATTAAAAAAGGAAATGAAAGTTATAAAATGATTTTTTTAAAAAATATAATTATCTTAATTTCATTAAGATGTATATTAAAAAAAATTAAAATGATCAAAGATATCTCGATCTTCAAAGTATAAATTTAGAGTCTTAGAATTTTTTTCCTTTTATTATTCAACTTTGTCAAGATGAACTATTGCAGAATCGATAAAATAGAATTTACCTAATATTCTCTTAAGTTGTTAACTCTATAGAGCACAATAATTTTAACCACTAAAACTCTTACAACCCCTTAGTATATTCCTGAAAGATAAAATTATCTTTAAAAAAAACTAGTGGCAAGATCGTATTTGAATAAAGCGAAAAAAAATTATAACGAAATGATAATAGCAAAGTACCGAATTGGCCATAAGATGATATAACCTTTATCATCTCAAAAAGTAGGGGGGGGGGGGATATCAAAGCCTCATATAAAAATATAAAGGGTCTATTTTCTTTATATTTAATTAAAAGGTACAACACAACTTTAAGAATGTAAGCACTCTTATTTTTGAATGAATCAAATTTTATTTGAAACTTAACGCTATGGCGAATTTGAAGTAAATTTTATGATTTCTTTTCTTTAAATTTTCGAAATAATTTATGGTAAAGCATAAAAGAAAATTATCAACTTGTTACTAGAACCCGCTTCGATGGGAAATATTCGACTCTAAATGACTAAAATGCATTTTTTAACTGAGCCATTCCACGTCAAATCGATCACGATTCGGCCGACCCCCTTTAAATTTGTTTAAAATTTCTGGAATTATTTAGATAGGTAAAAGAGTGAGAAAGCCGTTTATTTTAGCTCGCTAGCACACCTGGTTCTCGAGATATAGGGGCTCCAATTTTCAAAGGGCTCGGCCGAAAAAGTGCCTTTTTTGATCGATTTGACATGGAATGGCCCAACTATGAATATATTCCTATATATCTTAGGGAATACGTTATTCTATTACATGCACTATTTAATTTTCTATTTGATAAAATAAATATATAGTTGGTTATTTTGTTTGTTTTTGAGCTGATATATTATATAATATATAAAAACAACGTTTATAAATAATTTAATTCATAATATAAGTGGAAATATTATAATTAATACATTTACAAGATTCCTAATTTTAAATATAATTGATTTGGTAAGCGAATACATTAAAAAGTATTTAGTTATATCATACTTCTAACACCCAAAATACCATATTTAATAATTCCTAATATTAGTGGACCAATTAGATGGAGTATAATTGCTGGCTGTATTATAATCATTCGTGTTATTTCCGCCCTCAGGGAAATATTGGTTTGCTGAAGTGTTGTAATCGTTTCTGAGATTATTATTATCGTTGGCTCGAGTGTATTGATAGGAAGGAGGGGCCTCCCTAAAATGTTCTTTAAACCAATGAATCAAGCTATTCAGCGAACCAAATATGCGACTCCTATATCTTAAACCTTGAGATGTTATGGTAACGTATTCGTAATGGGGATTGGTGCGTGGCATGTAGGCTAAAAGAAATTTGCCTTTAATTTTAAATAAACATGGAATTAATTTGCATAATGTAAAATGAATATCTACAAGTAAAGTATAAAAATGATACTTTTTTGAAATATTATGAATTTTAAAAATTTAATATGATATAATCTCCCTTATACAAGTTGTTGAACACATAACGTCATATATGTGGTCTTTAAAGATTAATTTATTTACCAGGATAATCCTTGGAGGGTCCAAAAGCGTATGGTATACGAAGTGGGGCCCCCTTTTTGGTCTCGCGTAACAAATATTCTAACAACCGTTTAACGCCTCCTTCTGCTTCACTTTCTTCCCCATTCTGATTAAAATTGCCTATCATTATCATTTTAAATTGAGATTAAATTATATACTTTTAAATTTTATATGAGCTTGATTAATACCAATGATTTTATTTGATAAAAAAATTAACACAAATACTCTTCCCAATTAGAAAGAAATTAAAATAGCTCCACCACATATAAAAAATGCGAATATATTAAAAACTAGCCAAATATGAATAAGAATGCAAACATAATATTTAACTGATTGGTTAATTATAACCAAAAAAACAAGGGGGTTCAGGGGTCGTTGTGTATTATTTAGAATTAATTTCACTAAATAAAAAAAAATTCTTTGAATGATACACATAGGGCCTGATTTAATTTTAAAAAATTACAAAAAACATGAAATAAAAAACAATATTTACCAGTTGCAGCTGTCGCTGTAGGATCTTCATAATAATACTTGTGGGAAGTTAAGTCACGTGCTAGAGCAGCCATGGGGGTTATGTGACGGGCAATGATCTCGTCCAAATCCTCGAATTCTTCGTTACCTATCCACAGAGATTTGCCAAGGGTAAAAGGTTTGTCCTTTCCTTCTTCTTTGATATCTTTATTATTTTTAAATGAGAAGAATTTGTATTTGTGAATTCAAAGAAACATTAGTGGATTGTAATTTTATACAATTCGGATTAATGATTGTTTTATGAATAAAGCTAAAGATAATAACGTTAAGAGCAATGAATTTAATGCCGTTAAACTAGAATCCTTTTAAAATCAGTTGTTTTGTTGGACGGTATTTTAAAGTATTAAAATCGAAGTTTAATCGCCATCATAAAGTAACTCTTTATATATTATTTACTAAGAAAAATATTATATGATGAAAGGCTATTCCATGTTAAATCAATCAACGATTTGACTGACCTTTAAATTAATCGGACTTGGTATATATGCGTTGAAAATTTAAAATAATATAAATTTCAAGAATATAAAGATTATGATTATAGAATTAATTATAAATATATTTTAACAATTTTGTGGGCATTTATTATAAAACCGAAATTAGTAACGAGCTACTACTAACGATATTTTTTTAAATAACGCGCTAAAACTACCGCTACTAAAAAAAGTAACGCGCTACTTTAACAACACTACAAAATAAGAAGTAAATTTAATTCCTTTACAGGTATGGTGATCAAAAATCTCGTTTTTTGGTCGATTTGTCATGGAATGATCTTAGCAAGATTTTCAAGCATATATCTTAGTCAAAAATACCCGTTTCAAAATATTCCAAAATGGCGATTAGCAATCTAATATTTTAGTTATGTAATTGATTTATAACAATATTTTAAAGATTGAGCGTTACAAGTTACGAAAATATAATATCTGTTTTGTGTGCTTAGCTAAAAAAGAAAAATTTACAGAGAAATCTAGCCCACAAAAAATTATTTTAACGAACCTATGTGTTGATAAATTCCCTCAACGATTTTCCATGTCAAGGTTAGATGATCGCTGCCTTTAGATGTACTAGGCCTTATAAGAGCTTCCCCGGCGGGCATCGCTTCGAGCAAACTTTGGGCCTGAGAAAATGTGACGTTTTTGAAGTTAGGATGAGATATAACGCGTTTGCATATAATGTAGCCGGATGAGTTTTTCGATTTTCCCTTTTAAAAAAATTATCAAATTATTACCATTTTCAGTTGGGGAAGTTTTAATCACTATCTAGAACGATATGAGAATTTAAATAAAAAATTTCGTCATTTTGGATATTGTTAATAAAATGACTCCATCTTTAATGCATAATTAGATCTTGTAAATTAGGAGTGCTAAAATTACTAGGGTTTTAGTCACGTTCTATTATCACGTTTTTTTAAAGTTACAAATCTAAAAAAATGTACTTCGTTTTTCTGAAGCTGGGCCAAGCTGGTGGCTTTTTTAATGTCTGCCGCTTCTTCATCGTAGTCATAATACAAATCTTTGGGAGGTTTGAATTCGTTATTAATGTCGGCTAAGTCTGATGATTTGCACGTTAGTTCAACCTGTAAAAAAATGATAATTTATAAATATCTATTTTGGCGGGTTGGGGGAGGGCAAATTTAAAAAGTTCACAAAAGTTATACCAAATTTGGTTTAAAAAACTATCATATATCCAAAACGATCAAAGGAAAGAAAGGTTTTGTAATAGATTTCAAGATGATATCAATCAATCATAATTGACCAGCGATCATTGTATATAAGGTGATCACTAGTCAGTTAAATTAATTAATTAAATCTAAACCGAAAATCTCTCAATGTCAATTTTAAGGATTCTAGCATACAGAGACATTCCATTCTTGACTCTGTCTTCAGGGTTTTTGACCATTTTGTCGGATATGTTTTTAACGTGGATGAATCCATTTAGGCCATTCTCCAATCGCACCCTATTTCATATATATATATATATATATATATGTTATATTAAAATCGATATAAATTGGTACTTTAAATCGATGATTTTCTGAATAAAATTCATGATTTAAATTATTTCCGCATTTTAATTATTAAAATTTTATGTTAGACAAATCCCTAGATAATATTTATTTTTGACATAACAAACTCCTATATAAATAATTTTATATAAAAATAATGGAGATATCAAAAAATCACTAAGTATTTTTTGTATAACCACTAAATCGCCGAGCTCATAATAGCCAAAACATCTACAAAAAATGACCGCCAAAATTTAAATAATGGACTCAATTTAAGGTTCCCACAATAAATCGCCAAGTTCAAAATAGCCAAATATTTTTGTACGTAATTTAAAACACCACAAGTAATATAATATTTTATATATAATACAACCCTAATATATCATGATACTAATATAATGTAATAAAAGGAATTATAATACAAATATAATATAATTATAATATAATGATATTATAATATAATAAAACACTAACATATAACATAGTGTAATACAATATAAAATTAAAATAATAATATAATATGATACCAATTATAATTTTAATATTATAATATAATATAATAAAATACTAACATATAATATAGTCTAATACAATATAAAATATATAATAATAATATAATACTAATATAATATAATTTGATACTAATAATGTAATACACTATAATAAATATAATACTAATATGTAATACAGTATAATATTAATATAACGTTATATTATAATATAATAAAAATCCTAATATAAGTCTAATATAATATAAAATATAAATAATAATATAATATAATATAAAATGTATAATAATAATATAATATAAAATATATAATAATAGTATAATGTAATATAAAATATGTAATAATAATAAAATAAAATTATAATTAAAAATAAAATAAAATTATGTATCAGGCGTCCTAGATTTTGACATCCTAATAGTTTATTTTTTAAGGTTTATATTGATTCATAAGTATATGGAACTCACTTTTCTTACTATAAGCTTCATAAATAAATTTTTTTATCTTAGTTAATTTAACTTTTACTCCTATAAATATCTGATATCTTAATATTTTATTATTTTTTAAGGATTATATTGATTCATAAGTATATAAAACTCACTTATCTTATTGGAAACTTTATGAATAAATTTTTTTGTCGTAGATAATTTAACTTTTACTCCTATAAATATCTGATATCTTAATATTTTATTTTTTTAAGGTTTTATATACTTAGGTCTTTGTAAAAAAAAGTACTAATATTTATTATAATATCGGATTAAATAAATATAATAAAAAACAAAAGTAATAATGTACAATTTAATATATACGTATATTTTTATAAAATATAAAAAAGTAGTAATATTTTAATGTACAATTTAATATATATTTATATTTTTGTAAAATATAAAAAGTAGTAGTAATATTTATTATATTATAGGATTAAATAAATATAATAAAAAAACAAAAGTAATAATGTACAATTTAATGAGTATAATTTTGTAAAAATATAAGAAAGTACTAATATTTATTATATTATCGTATTAAATAAATATAATAAAAAAACAAAATTAATAATGTACAATTAAATATATAAGTAAAATTTAATCAGAATAACTTGAATATATATTATTTGATTGAAAATTTACCAAAAATGATATTTTGTCTAAAAAGGAAAACAAATTTAAGATTACTCTATCATACATAGACGTTAGATTGTCTATTTTATGATTTAATCTTTCATAAGTCCGATTTGCTCGCCAAACAATCGATCCATTATGAATTTGTAAGAGTTTAATATCGTTCGATTTTTGATTTTCGATCAATATTTTTATAAGAACGTACACTTTCGGATGTGCACTGCTGGTTTTCCTTTTTAGAGCATGATGGAACCCCTCGAGGTGGTTATTTGTGCAGGGCCCATCTACATGATATCTAAAATAAATATTGAAAAATAATTATTTTAAGTTTTTATACCTTGTCCATATAGTATGGGGGAATAAGGCAGTTTCACCAAGCCACGTATGATCCATATACTCCATAAAACGAAGTAGGGATGGATTGTTAGTTGCCATTGAGTAGCAAGATAAACGAACCTCGGCCAAATGCTCCTCCTTACAAAATGGTAAAGTTGTCATCCGCCTAACAACTATATGGACATGGGAGTCGTTCAGGTAGTCCCTAACTAAACCCAAAGCTTGACATTTCCGAAAGCTTGAGAATAATGGAAGAAACATCCGAAATATTTTAAATTATAATTTACATATATTATAATTTAACCTTTGATCACTATATTCGGAAATACAAATCGAAGAGCAGATATAGCCGCTGCCTCAAAATCTGTTTGACCATTTGGAGGATTGAAATTGATGCCTTCCAGGGTACAAAAATTTCTGACTATATGAAATAGTTGAATATATGTCTCCCTTGATTTATCTGGAAGGAGAGCATATATAACTGGTATCATTTTTCATACATCACGTGTATGGTATAGAGCTGACAATATAATCTCGGAACTATGTAGAAAGTTCCGTCCATATATATTGTCGTAGCAGCTCCCAACAATTTTAACATATCCGTAGTCCCAAAGACCAATATCCTATTAGATTCAGTAGGGATGTGAAATCTTTGAGATCTGGTAGAGGTTGCATATACAGGCGTTAATATTATATCCTCAATTGAATGAGGCATGGAATGCCTATATTTCTTTAGAAGTCTGTCAATATGACCCCTAATTGATATGAAAGGGGGGATTGCCTCTGGATAATTTTCGATGTGAGTAGTCTCTAAACATCTAATATCGATAGTTTTTTTATAAATCCTCATCCTTGTTTCGGTAGGATCTTGGATCGTTCTTTCAAGAACCTCTTTTGTTTTGAGAAGCTCAAACGACATCAGGTTGGTGTTCATGTACACCTGATGAAATGTAAATATGATCATATTTACATTTTGCAGAACAGCCTGGTTTCCTGCAACGGTAATGAACAACATCCCCCCTTTCATAGTGAAACCGGTAGAGATGATCTTGATAAAAAAGGAAAGGTTTTCCCTTTTGACCATTGACAAATTGACCTTTAAACATATATATATATATATTATATTATGTTTTTACTATAAATATTTTGATTTATGTCAAGCATAGCATATGCTGCATCCATAATTTCATAATCATCTATAGTTAATTTATTGGGACTACGGATATGTTAAAATTGTTGGGAGCTGCTACGACAATATATATGGACGGAACTTTCTACATAGTTCCGAGATTATATTGTCAGCTCTATACCATACACGTGATGTATGAAAACGTCATGATACCAGTTATACATGCTCTCCTTCCAGATAAATCAAGGGAGACATATATTCAACTATTTCATATAGTCAGAAATTTTTGTACCCTGGAAGGCATCAATTTCAATCCTCCAAATGATCAAACAGATTTTGAGGCAGCGGCTATATCTGCTCTTCGATTTGTATTTCCGAATATAGTGATCAAAGGTTAAATTATAATATATGTAAATTATAATTTAAAATATTTCGGATGTTTCTTCCATTATTCTTAAGCTTTATGGCTGAAATGTCAAGCTTTGGGTTTAGTTAGGGACTACCTGAACGTCCCATGTCCATATAGTTGTTAGGCGGATGACAAATTTACCATTTTGCAAGGAGGAGCATTTGGCCGAGGTTCGTTTATCTTGCTACTCAATGGCAACTAACAATCCATCCCTACTTCGTTTTATGGAGTATATGGATCATACGTGGCTTGGTGAAACTGCCTTATTCCCCCATACTATATGGACAAGTTATAAAAACTTAAAATAATTATTTTTCAATATTTATTTTAGATATCATGTAGATGGGCCCCGCACAAATAACCACCTCGAGGGGTTCCATCATGCTCTAAAAAGGAAAACCAGCAGTGCACCCGAAAGTGTACGTTCTTATAAAAATATTGATCGAAAATTCGAACGATATTTAAACTCTTACAAATTCATAATGGATCGATTGTTTGGCGAGCAAATCGGACTTATGAAAGATTAAATCATAAAATAGACAATCTAACGTCTATGTATGATAGAGTAATCTTAAATTTGTTTTCCTTTTTAGACAAAATATCATTTTTGGTAAATTTTCAATCGAATAATATATATTCAAGTTATTCTGAGTAAATTTTACTCATATATTTAATTGTACATTATTAATTTTGTTTTTTTATTATATTTATTTAATATAATATAATAAATATTAGTACTTTCTTATATTTTTACAAAATTATACTTATTAAATTGTACATTATTACTTTTGTTTTTTTATTATATTTATTTAATCCGATAATATAATAAATATTACTACTACTTTTTATATTTTACAAAAATATAAATATATATTAAATTGTACATTAAAATATTACTACTTTTTTATATTTTATAAAATTATACGTATATATTAAATTGTATTTTAAAATATTACTACTTTTTTTATATTTTACAAAAATATACGTATATATTAAATTGTACATTATTACTTTTGTTTTTTATTATATTTATTTAATCCGATATTATAATAAATATTAGTACTTTTTTTTACAAAGACCTAAGTATACAAAACCTCAAAAAAAATAAAATATTAAGATATCAGATATTTATAGGAGTAAAAGTTAAATTAACTATGATAAAAAATTTATTCATAAAGTTTCCAGTAAGACAAGTGAGTTTCATATACTTATGAATCAATATATACCTTAAAAAAATATAATATTAAGATATCAGATATTTATAGGAGTAAAAGTTAAATTAACTACGACAAAAAAATTTATTCATAAAGTTTCCAATAAGACAAGTGAGTTTCTTATACTTATGAATCAATATAAATTTAAAAAAAATAAAATATTAAGATATCAGATATTTATAGGAGTAAAAGTTAAATTAACTAAGATAAAAAAATTTATTCATGAAGCTTATAGTAAGAAAAGTGAGTTCCATATACTTATGAATCAATATAAACCTTAAAAAATAAACTATTAGGATTCAAAATCTAGGACGCCTGATTAAACAAAATTTTATTTTTATTTTTAATTATAATTTTATTTTATTATTATTACATATTTTATATTACATTATATTATTATTATATATTTTATATTATATTATTATTATACATTTTATATTATATTATTATATATATTTTATATTATATTAGACTTATATTAGGATTTATATTATATTATAATATAACGTTATATTAATATTATACTGTATTACATATTAGTATTATATTATATTACATATTAGTATTATATTATATTACATATTAGTATTATATTATATTAGATTATATTCTTATTATATATTTTATATTATATTATTATTATACATTTTATATTATATTATTATATATATTTTATATTATATTAGACTTATATTAGGATTTTTATTATATTATAATATAACGTTATATTAATATTATACTGTATTACATATTAGTATTATATTATATTAGATTATATTCTTATTATATATTTTATATTATATTACATTATATTATATATTAGTTATTTTTTCATATTATAATATCATTATATTATAATTATATATATTATTATAATATCATTATATTTTAATTATATTAGTATTATATATTATTATATTTATTATAGTGTATTACATTATTAGTATCAAATTATATTATATTAGATTATATTATTATTATATATTATATTATATATTATTTTTTCATATTATAATATCATTATATTATAATTATATATATTATTATAATATCATATATTTTAATTATATTAGTATTATATATTATTATATATTATTATATATTTTATATTATATTAGACTATATTATATGTTAGTATTTTATTATATTATAATATTAAAATTATAATTAGTATCATATTATATTATATTTGTATTATATTATTATTTTAATTTTATATTGTATTACACTATGTTATATGTTAGTGTTTTATTATATTATAATATCATTATATTAGTATTATATTATATTTGTATTATAATTCCTTTTATTACATTATATTAGTATCATGATATATTAGGGTTGTATTATATATAAAATATTATATTACTTGTGGTGTTTTAAATTACGTACAAAAATATTTGGCTATTTTGAACTTGGCGATTTAGTGTGGGAACCGTATTTTTGTCCTATTTAATAAATATTTATTCTATATTTTGTTGATTTCAGGGACATGGAACGGATTGGGAAATTATTATGTAAAGAAACGTCCCAGGAAAATTTCTGGCTGAAAAAGAATATAAAATTTTTAATTTATTGAATTATAAATACAGTTAAAAATATCCGTTTTCTTTCTTCACATAACAATAATTATTACTCATTTTAGTATAATGTATATTTTTAATATTATAAAACTCTTAAATTTTAAAATAATTTTATATTAATCGCTGGACTATATTCCGGTCCCTGGATGATAATAGAATTAATTAATAAAAGATGCGGTTTATAAATATTAATAGTTTATGTAAAATATTAATTAAAATAATCTAGTCATGTTAACTTGTAAAATTTAATTTTTTTAATAACACATTATTTACTTAGGTGAATTAAATCATCGCAAACGGGCAATTAACATAATATAGATAAAATTATGATGAATAAAATGAATGCATATGGCCGATCAATAACTTCAGAAGTTATTTTCTTCCAGGAACATTATAAAATTTGATTTTATCAAATAAATCAATTTTTTTTGAAAAAATCATGATTTTTGACAACCACAATATTATGTTATAAAATGCAAATAAATGTAATCTTACAAAATAAAAAAAATAATTAATTTAAATAAGTTTAAAAAGTAGGAAGGGATAAAAAAGAATTATCGATAAAAATGTCAAGTTTAACATTTAAATATGACATACCGTAATATAATTTGGAGAAGGAAAATCAGAGGGGAAACGGGTTTACCCGGGTAAACCTGGGCATTAAACGGAGAAGATAATTAATCTCAAATTCACTCTATACAATTTATGCTATTTTAGATGATGCAAGGAACCTTGTTTTGTTGCATTAAAATCTGGCGAATCAACTAATAAAACCAGTGAATAGTTATAATTTCCTGACCGTTAATTAAATACTTAGAAACCTGTTTAAACTGATTCATAAAGGGGTTTAAATTTTATTTTAATTTTCATATTAAACAATATTATTTATTTTTTAATAAAATACATTTCGCTAAATGCTCTCTAATTCGATTAAAAAATAAATTTTACAAACTACAAATTTGTCATTAAACTTTTTGTAGAAATCTTTGATTTTTAAAAGTTTTCAAAATATTTTTTATTAGATTAATTATCCGTGGGTTATTAATCTTTCAATAAAAATCCAGAACGAACCGGAAATAACCGGTATGAATTTTTAAACTGAACCGATATAAATTTGTTTAAAAATAACCGGAATGGAGCTAACCGGGCGCTATGCCCTGGTTAAAATTAAAATGCAAAAGCTTATATAAATAATAAATGCAAAACTGAAAATAAAAGAAGAAATAAACATAAAACAATGAAGATGTTGAAATAAAAAGCTATAATGATCCTTCATATTACTTAATGCCAACGGGTTGGCCAGGGCAGTATTGACAATCGAAATGCTGCCAAACTTCGCTGAGCTCTCCAAAGTCGGCTTTGTAACATATCGGGCAAGTCCATAGGCCAGTTTCCTCATTCCTAACTGGGTTGAAGTTACGACTAACATCGAAATTATCGTTGTTTCCTCCATCGTAATTTCCTGATAATCTCTCCAGGGCCTTTTTGGGGTTTACGTAGGCTAAGCCTAAAACTCGCACGGATAAGAGTTTCCCTATGTAAAAGGTCTGGGGGGTTTCCTTAGTGACCATGTTGAACCTTTCTTCCAGCGTGGGCTCCATAGGAGGGATACGAGTGTCTTTGTAGCTGAAATTTTTTTTAATGCATTAATACAAAAATTGCTGACCATTATTAATTACTAAAATCACGTGAGGGCTGGAATTAGGCCTCAATGATTGGTTGCGCAAAACTTAATATAAGCGATTCTTAAAAAAACTGACCACCACTCCCGTTTAAATAAAAGAATATTGAAAGACCATAAAAAGGCTCTATAGATTTATTGAGGTTGAAATATTCTTTTTAGGGGATATGCATCCCTCGCTTACGTCATTCAAATTCAATTCTTTGAAAGTTGTTAAACATTTTACACGAATTTCTCATACAAGTTTTTTTTTAATTAACCGATTAGTGAGTTCAGATCGTATATCGTACAACGTGGCTGTTTTATTGCCAAAGCCCTGGCGGGTTAACTCTTCGGCGAAGGCGTCTAGGTCTAAATCTTTTAGCTTGTCGGGGCATTCGAATATTTCTTCTAGGGCTGAAGCCGGATCGAGTGGGCCTCGAGGCTTTGTGGCTTTCTATTTTTTATGAAAAAATTTGAAAGGAAATACGTTTTAATTAATGAATCGAAATCTTGTAAAAAAAATCCTCATATTTATTTCTTTTAAAATCTTTTTACATAATATTGATCATATTGAATTGATTAAAAATATAGAACTAGTTATTATTTTTCAATTGACTTTTAAAAATTGCTAAGCTTATTATTTCAAAAAAAGGATCAACTTTATAGGTTATCCAAAAAAAATTGTATAATGGTTTCCATTTTCAGTAATACTAATTAGTTTATTTCATATATAACCTTATTTTTCTTTCCAGTCTTTCCTTTCTTTCGTTCATATTCTTCTTCGTCCTCCTCATTCTCCTCTTCAGCTTCTTCATTCTCTTCCTCGTCTTCATCGTACTCCAAAGCATCGACCGCCATCTTACGTGCCCATTCATAAGTTTCAGGGTGGATTCTGGTTGAATCAAGAATTTCTACATAATAGTCTGAACCGGCTTTTTATTATTGAAATGAGGAATTAATTTATACAAAAATTGGATATTTAACTAGCTATGTAATATTATTGGTACTACAACTTTATAAATGCTATAATTGTTTCTTTTCAGAGATAAACCCTTAGATACATTATAAAAGTGTAAAGACCATGCACTAGTCATTTAAGAAATGGATTTGTATGCTTTTAGAACTAAATTAGATTATGTGTAAGCAGAGTATGTAACTTTAACTTATCAGGTTTCTTACCGTTTCTGCCTTCCTCTTCAGCAGCAGATAAGGCGGTCGTGTCAATTTTGATGAACCCAGCGCAATTAACGAAAACTTTGGGCCCCATGCTACACATGGTAACAAGTTGCGTCCTATTTTGCAAAGCTGCTATAGGACCTGAACCACTGTAACTTATCCCTTGATGTAGACCTGAACAAAGAAGGTAAAATTTTTTTATAAATATTAAAGTATAATCATTCCAAAAAATTTGTTCATATCACTGAAAGTAGTTTTATTTATGACATTAAAATACATGCACCCCACTATATCCCACTATTACTTGCAAACAAATTTTTAAATTAAATAATATGTGTTAGGAATCAATGTCTAAATAAAAATACTGAACCTGCGGCAGATTTTAGAGATTGTTGACGTTTCTCAAGCGTTTTCACAAGTTCTGCACCCTTTCTGGGCCCAAGCCCCGACACAAACTGAACTATAGAGTTGGCCCAGTCTCTGGGGGTAAGCCCTTCGGAAAGTTCAGAGCTGGTTCGAGCCTGGGCTCGAATCAGGAGACGGTTTAAATCTACCCCGGTCTCGTTGATACGATCAACGAAGCAACGAACAGCAGCCCGATGCAGGTCGGAGGCGAAAAGCGAGTTATCGGATGTAGTTGTAGGGCTTGTTGTCGTAAAAGCTAGATCTGTTATAAGGCAATGTAATTAAAAAACTATTAATCCTTGAATAATATAGGCCAAACTCCTTAGTAAATATAAATATATATAAGAAAAGATGCGATTATTTGGCTGGTTTTTATATCATATTAAACCCCAGAAATAATAAATAGCATGATTATGGGTGATGAAAATGTGAAAAATTGTAGGGTCATTATGTATGCCGATCTCAACTTTTTGTGGAACATATTTAATAATAGTTTTAAAGATTCGGTTAAGATATAGGACTTTGATATTAACTGTGTTGGCATGAGTTTTAATATTTAATGAAGAAAAAAAATTATTTCTTGATGTGAATATTGAATATACGGAAAAATTATATATTGAGTTCATCACTGATCCTAATATAAACTTCGAAGAATAAAATTAAATATTCAAACTTTCGAGACGTTTCCTAGCTATTTCGGTGGCGTTAGAACCCTCATTTTGCGGGGTTACGTAATCGTTATTACTAAACGCCCTCACGTTGGTAAAATCTGTAAGCAATTCTTGAAGGGGTTCTAATTTCAAACAAAATATATCATTGGATTGCATGCAATTAGCCGAAGGACTAGAATCAGGAAAAAGCTGAGCGAATTCTAATAGAGGGTCTTGAACGCGCCTGGCCAATGAGGCAGACTTTTTGAGAAGGGAAGAGTTTGTGGAATGTTTGAGTATACTGTCGGAACTCAGGTCTTTGGATTGGGAAGCGGCCATAGTGGCAGCGGATTTGTTAGGTATGTTTTCTTTTGGGGAGACTGAATTTTAAAAAAAGTTTATTAAATTAGAGTATTAAAAAATAGATTAAGCAACTTATTTGCAAGATATTTAAGCTTAGGTTGCAATTGAAAATGAGATTTATTTCCTAATATTTAAAAAAAATATATTACTTTTCTGTTGAACTATATTAGCTAGATCTTCTTCAACTAACACGACCGCCACTGGAGGAAAATTTTCGAGGGTTTGTTCGAGATCGAGACAAATATCTTTTAATTCCTCTCTCAGGGTCAAGCAAAGGCGTGAAGATTCACAAGTACCTACCGCTATAACGTGAGGCCTATGTTCACCCAGAAATGTACGTAACTTGGCCAGCTCGCTTTCTTTCAGGGTTCGATCACGAGCAGAAAAGTTCGATCTCTTGCTAAAAGGTTTATAACAAAGGGTGCACGGATTAATAATTAGGTTTGATGGATATGGAATGTAAATTAACGTCCGAAGTGAAAGAATAATGAAAAAAATATATAACTTTAATATAATTAAAAAATTAGTTAAAGATATCTTGATGGAGGCACCTTTATTTATAAATTTTAAAAAGGATTCAAAAATTTGACTTTGTAGGTCTTGTCCTGTCTGAATATATTTATTTTAAAAAACACACATATAAAGGGTTTGTTTTTTTTAAAAACTTTTTAAGTATATTCGGCAATCTCAGAGTAGCAGTTAGAGCACCATCTCTGTCGACGACGGTCGCCACCCCTCCTACTTCCACCCCGTTAATTTTATTGAGCGAATATGCTAGTCCCAGAACCCGGACTTCGTTTGCGTGATACCTTCCAGCGTTTGGACCTTCATCGGGATGTTCGTCCAACAGAGGTCCCTCTATCTTATAGGGGCCTACCTTGAGAGCCGAGTACAGCCTGGGAGGTCATTAAATATAAGAAATATTTTTATATATGCAATTATATAAGTACAATATTTTTTTAGAGTACATGCTTGGAGGGATAGGTATATAGCATAGTAGTAGCCTATCCATCAGCTGTTTGATATAGATACTAGCAGAAACAATAGACATAAAAAAAGTGAGAGAAAAATGCAAGTAAAATAAAATGAAATAAATTGTTCCTTTGCAATTTTTCTTAAAAAAAAATTCACAAACTTAAAGGTATAGATAATGAAGAAGGCTATAAAGTTCAAGAATAGAAAAATATAGATGGAAACAAATAACTTAAAAAAAATGTATACGATTCCAAGAACAAGAAAATAATTAGCAAATATAGAAAGAGGACTATTTGATCACTATATCATAGCTGCCATTCTTTTTACACCTTCAAACCTCTTTTAATGTGATCAGAAACATCTATGAATAGTTTATTATTCGCTACAAGACCTAAAAAGTGAGGATAAATATTTTATAAAAGCAAAAATTTCAAAAACTAACTTAAAAGCATAACTATTTAGTACACTGTCTGCCGATTCCCTTAGCAATTTCATTCCCAATTCCTGGGAAAATATTGGGTATAGAAATTTGGTGAGGCATTCATTGAGCGCCAAGGACCTTTGCTCATTCCATGACCTGGCGTTTATACCAAATTCATCTTTTTCAATTAGGGGGCGAAGTTCTTCGAAAAAGCTTGAGTGATCCTCTTCCGTCATGCCTAATAATTGATAAATGCCAACGTGTAATATGGCGGGTTAAATATTTAAAAACCAGCAATTGTAAATCATTTGTTTTTTTATAAATTTCTACTAGATAACTTTCCTAATTTTCCGTGAATCTCAAAATTAAAAGTAGAATTAGAAATAGGATAAAATACGAATTTAAAAAATTTCGAGCTAAAATAAATAAATATTTTCAAATATTTAAGCATAGTGGTAAGCAAAAATTTTATAAGAATTGTAATATTTTAGTCACTTTTTGATATTACGTGGATAAACTTAAGGGAAACTTGAAAAAAAATATTAAAATATTACTCAATTAACTTAATTTTCACTATTAAGATTTAGATAATTTCACTATGAATATTTATATTTATTCAATTATTTATGGTATATCAGTTTATTCACAATAATTCAATCCAAATATCAACTTTTAGTACAAATAAAAATATATTTTACAATAATTTAATAATTCAATTAATGGCGAATCAATTTTTTTCTTTCTTTTAAATTATCCCTCCACGATTAAAATCAACAAAAATAATAACTCTGTTTTTTAATCAATATCTAAAATTTTTCTAAAATATAAAATTATTCAACTGATTGACATTTATCAATCATTTAAAAATAATATCTTAAATATATATGAAATATACGAAATATATATGAAATATACGAAATATATATGAAATATACCTCACGTCCGCCTTACAAAAGACCAAGACGTGGAAAAAAAACGCGGAAAATTAAAACTTTTTACATATTTATACGTTCTCTTTTTCTTCCTTTAACATTTCTTCTTCTTCGGTCTCCATAGGATTGTATTTCTTTTTCAAGCCATTATTGTTGATCACTTTAGATATGGTTGTTCCCACTTTGATCGAATTCTGGCTTGTAGTTGATATTCCTCCCACTGTCCTAGCTTGTATACCATGTGATCTTTTAACTATTCCATCATAATTATTAGATGGCCACTGCCTATTTCCATATTGTTTACTTCTAGATTCTATCTCGTTTATTTTATTGTAGTTTTGGTACGCTACCTCCGGCTGTACCCTATTATTTTTCCCACAAAAATAACTAGTTCCCGGAACTTCATCTGTGTCACTGATGCATTGGTGCGAACTCTATCGTATATGTTAAAAGGAGGTCCTACAACTTGGGAAAATCTCAAATCATATACTTTAAAAGATAAAGTATTGAGACAAACAAAATTATTTTTAATGGGAAAAAAACCATGAAAAATAATTATAAAATTTATCAAAGATATGAAAAAGAATTATCCGTGGTGGATGATTGTGTAATAAGGGGAAATAGGGCAGTAATTCCGGTGAAATTACGTGCTAAAATAATTAATTTATTACATGCAGGACACCAGGGTCAAGTTAAAATGAAATCTTGGGCTTGTGAATATGTATGGTGGCCTGGGATGGGTAATGATAGAGAAAAAAATACAAGGGAATGTGTTCCATGTAATACCTGTGCCGTTATGCCCCGTAAAGAGATGGGACAAGTATGGCCAAAATCAAAGAAACCGTGGGAAGGTATACATATTGATTTTTTTGATTTGGATAAAAAATCATATTTTTTAGTGGTGGATTCATATTCAAAGTGGATTGAATATACTGAAGTACATGGGTATACAACTAAAATTGTTAATAATAAATTAAGTGAATTATTTGCAAAATTTGATTTGCCGGACAAAATAGTGTCTGATGGAGGTCCAGCCTTCATAAGTGAAAATTTTAAACAATTCTGTGATGAATTAAAAATACAACATATACTTACTCCACCCTATCATCCTAGCTCAAATGGCCAGGCTGAAAGGATGGTAGCAATATTGAAAAATTGGTTAAGAAAATCTAAACAAGAAAAAAATGAAGTCTGGTTAGCCCAGTTATATTATAATAATTCAAGGAATAAGGAGGGGGTTACTCCTGTTGAATTGTTTTTGGGTAGAAGAACCAAATTATGCTTAGGTTTTCTTAAGTCAAAAGAGATTGAAAATATAGTATCTTATGGAAAAATCAATGTAAAATTTCCTGTGGGGAAAATTATTTGGGGAAGACTTTTTGACCATAAAAAGAAGTGGGAGAAAGGTTGTGTGATAGATAATATTGGAAATAAATTATGTAACATACGATTTGATGATGGTACTGTGGGAGTACATCATAACGATTTTATTAGGGTATATAATAAAGAGGGGAATTAAATTAGTCCATAAAAAACGGAATTGTGGTTCCTAGAATTTTTTAGGACAGAACTCTTTGTAAACTTAAATAATTTTAGTGGTAAAATTTATACAAATAAAAAAAACAATGAGAAATATACCCTAGATAATTAAAAGTATATATATATATTTAAAAAAAATATATGAATGAAGAACTGAGAAAAAATATTTAAAGAAAGAGGGTACATATCATCTTAGAGAAGAGAGAATACTTCTGCTGTTGAAAGTAAAATACTTAATTGGAATTATCTGATATATGTATCATTTTTTTAAATATTAATATAAAGCTATGTGAACCAAAAGTAATTTATTAAAATCAATCTAATATCAGTCGCATTTTAAAAGAAATTTTGTTTAATATCATGTTAATGTGATATAGAGAAGATTATCACTAATTTGATTTAAATCGAATTTTAATGGAATGTACACTTGTGGGACAAACAAAGAATAAATTATTTTATAAATAATTTTTTTTTATGTTATTTTAAAATAACATACATGTTTGATTTTTTTTTCTTTTAGGGAAAGAAAAGTGAAGAGTAAAATATATTTTTTTTAAAAGAAAATAAACGAATGGTGTTTTCGTGAAAATTGTCTTTTAATTTGAATGGCATAGGGGTAATAGTAAATAATTTATGTGTTAATAAAGAGAAAGATTATTAAAAATGATTATTAATAATTAGTGATTTTCTTATTTTAGGGAAAGAAAAGTGAAAAGTAACATATTTTTGTTAAGAAAATAACACGAGTGGTGTTTTTTGTAAAAATTGTTTTTCTTTTAATTTGAATTATATAGGGGCCATATATAAATAATTATGTATTTTAAAAAAAAATTATTAAAAAAAATAATTAATAAATAGTAATTTTATTTTAAAAGAGAAAATTAATTGATTGTATTAAAATAAATTTGAGTATTTATTTAAAATAAAAAATAAATATCTATAACTTGTAATGAGTTACAAAATTGAGACGCACGAACAAATAATCTATGTGAGGATAATAAAAAAAAAAGAAATTGGGAATAAAAAAACCTAAATCTGATGTATTCAAAAGATGCTTCCATTGTCAAAGTTTCGGACATCAAATAAAGGACTGCAATATTCCGACTCATGTGCTACAAAATCAGGAACGCGAGGATCATCTTAGTGACACAGATGAAGTTCCGGGAACTAGTTATTTTTGTGGGAAAAATAATAGGGTACAGCCGGAGGTAGCTTACCAAAACTACAATAAAATACACGAGATTGCATCTAGAAGTAAACAATATGGAAATAGGCAGTGGCCACCTAATAACTATGATGGAATAGTTAAAAGATCACATGGTATACAAGCTAGGACAGTGGGAGGAATATCAACTACAAGCCAGAATTCGATCAAAGTGGGAACAACCATATCTAAAGTGATCAACAATAATGGCTTGAAAAAGAAATACAATCCTATGGAGACCGAAGAAGAAGAAATGTTAAAGGAAGAAAAAGAGAACGTATAAATATGTAAAAAGTTTTAATTTTCCGCGTTTTTTTTCCACGTCTTGGTCTTTTGTAAGGCGGACGTGAGGTATATTTCATATATATTGCGTATATTTCATATATATTTTAAATATTATTTTTAAATGATTGATAAATGTCAATCAGTTGAATAATTTTATATTTTAGAAAAATTTTAGATATTGATTAAAAAACAGAGTTATTATTTTTGTTGATTTTAATCGTGGAGGGATAATTTAAAAGAAAGAAAAAAATTGATTCGCCATTAATTGAATTATTAAATTATTGTAAAATATATTTTTATTTTGAACTAAAAGTTGATATTTGGATTGAATTATTGTGATAAACTGATATACCTGAAATAATGAATAAATATAAATATTCATAGTGAAATTATATAAATCTTAATAGTGAAAATTAAGTTATCATTAAATGAAATTTTGACTATTTTTGTAGGGTTAAAAGTAGTTAACACAGCTACAAGTAAAATATATTCAACTTTACAACCTAAATTACAAAAAACCACAATTAAATATATTGTTAAAAAAAACCTAAATCTATGGATATGTATCCTTGAGTCCGTCCCCAAGCCATCCTCAAGAATTGATCGCCTATTAAATCCCGCACCGGTTTTCCTTTCAAATACCGACAGCCGTAAAGGGGGTCGGTTTCTGATTCAGGGCCAGATGTCAAGGAAGCGATAGAGGAAAGAAGGGCTGGGGCAGGGTGGACCGAAATTTTTGCCCGTTCAAAAAATGCGGTTCGGACCGAGCGACGAACAGAGGGGTCGGCGGCTATACGCGTGGCTATAATTCGACGAGCAGCGATTATGAGTCGGCTAGTTAGCCTAATAAAATAAAGTTTTTAAAAAAATGTATAAATGTTTGAATTTATTTTTAATTCTCCCCACACTATTAAACAGGCTTATTAAGAAAATATTTGCTTTACTTAAACCAGGGTTGGCAGGTTGGTCAATTAACTGGTCAAATTCTACCGAAAGTTTTGGTTCTGGTCAAATATTCCAAAAAAATGTGAAGAAAATGTAAAAAAATATGTTTGAAAAAATAAAAATCATATAAATGCATGTGATCACAATGCTGCTATTGGATCTCCAATATCAAGTAGAGCATCTTACTAATAGTGGATTTAATTTATTGAAGTAGTGATATACCACTAGAATTAGGCATTTTACTAACTTCTATAAGAAACAATCAGATTTCGACCCAAATTGGTGTTCAAACGTAAAAAAGAAATCGATTGAAGGCCTCAACAACCGGAAAATTGATTAAAAATATTAAAGAAAATGATAATATTGAATATGAATCAAAACAAGACTCTGCCAGGGAAAGTAAACATTAATTATAGAGTAACAATGAATTTACCAATATTATAAAATTGATATTTCAGATTTATTTTACTTTTATATACAAAATAAAGTCAATATTGTCTTAAAAAACATTATTTGAATTTGACTGGTCTATTAGTCAATTGACCAAATCGTATTTGATCGATAAAATACACAACCCCAATTTAAACTTTTTAACAAGAACAAAAAGAAGTTAGCTGCTATTTTTCTATTCCATATCTATAAACTATAATTATGCCAAGCGAACAGTATTAAAGAACTAACTTATCTTCCTCGCTCAAGCCAATGTCTACGTCTGTATCCGAACTTTGAGCCATTCGAGCTAGAAATACTTGGATTTCTCGCATCTCGTTATTGTTTTCGGTCATATCCTCTTCTTTTTCTTCTATCATAAATGAGGGACAAAAAAATATCCTTTTAAAAATTTCTCACGTTAATTTTAATCATTTTATTTAAATTCTATTTTAAATAGCATATTTAAGAATGTGTTTAACCTCCTTATATAGATAAAAATTACAAAAAGTAGCATGTATCCTAAGGTTAAATAAAACAACTAACTTTTAATTATCATTTCGGAATGAGTGGTTAGAAGAGTTTCCGCACTGAAGGCTTTGGTTAGTTCCAAGTTGGTTTGGGTGACCTCATGTTTTTGGTAATTGTCCCTCAAATTTTCACCGAATTGCCAAGCAGCTATCCCAAAATGTGAAGTAACAACCCGACCCAAACCCATACGCAGGCAAGTGGAATAAAAGTCTCTTTTCTTCGACTTTATCATGCAAATGTCGTAAGGAAATGTTTATTCATTTTATGGGAAAAAAGCCATATAATAAAATTTGGGTAATTACGCATGTTTATACCAGAAACCTGCAAGATCGATCCAAAACTTGCCCATTTTTTTTGTCAAATATGGGCCAGGCTTATAAATCAAAAAAAAATATACTTACCCGGCCAAAACTTAAAAATTTTATTTATTTTTTTTACAGAACTCGGGCATCATTTATTTCTCGGTAACAATTCATAAAATATGTAGCAAAGTTATTCAAAATATGGAAATTTGAGGTAAAAGGGCCATAGAGACAGGCTAAGAAAACTTTCAAAAAAAAACCCCTGACAAGATTCTGGCTGGGCCTAAAATTTCGATCTTTGCAAGCCTCCAGTTTATAATATTTGTATTTATCATTATTCCACTTTTTATAAAAAAAAACCCATATCTGTCACAAACGCCTTTGAAAATCTTGTGGCGAATATTTAATTATAAATTTGGGTATTGGGGGAGGGGGGGGGGGGGGGTGAGGAATCCAGGGGGAGCCACGTTTAAGGGGGGGGGCTGTATAATTTTTAGAGGTTAATAAATTAATTAAGACATACCTTTTTGAGCACGTGTTCTGTAACTCTTGAACCATCTTTCTCTAGAATTATATCTTCGATGTCATCTGCAAACGTTTACAAACACATTAAATGTTTAATAAATAATCAACATTTGGCATGTATTAAAATGTATCTACTGCGCTTTGTCAAAAAAAACTATATTATAAAAAGAAATGAATAAATTTAAAGCAATTAATAAAAAAAGGAGATATTATTTGTATCTCCAATTTTCCTTGAAGAGTTGTCAATTTTATAAAAAATAAAATTCATATTTTAAATTTATTAATTAACATTTAATTTTCTTTACCTTAAATATCTTTCTTTCTTTCTCCTGTTAATATATAATTAGAAAAACTATACCGCTTATATCTTTATCTTTGTTTGCGTCCGTATCCAGTGATTCGAATATATTTAAGGATTCTTGTTCGTTATCCTTTGTAGTTCTCTTTTGCTTATTCAAGGAAAGCTTCTTTATATGTTCAATCAGAGGGCCAAAATAAAGCGCGAACCAATGTCTGTAGTCTTCGACCTCTTCGATGGTCTGTGCAGCCTTAACCTTGATTAAGTCGATATCGGTTATAATGGGCAGGTCTGGGGAAAAAAATTTTTTTTTAAACATTCATTTTAGAAATTATTTTAGGGTATAAAATTGGAGGCCTAATGTTTTGAAATATTAAATTTCTTCCCTTTTGCTCTAATTTCCTTCCTTTCTTTCAGTCCTTATTCTTTATTTCTTTTTATTTATCGGCTTTTTCTTACCCTCGTAAGTGATAGACAAGAGTGAGGCGTGATTCATAGGTTGGGATGGGTTGACAACAGAGGACGTGTATTTAACTTCTTCCAAAAAGGACATAATTTGTTCCATGGAGGCTAGCAGATTGTTTTTCTTGTCCCTCAAACCTACCCACCTTTCGTCCCAGTGATAAATCTGTGTTTTTTTTCAAATTATAAAATATTTTAATACAAATCAATATGGAAAACCTTTAATTTTTTTTTAATTAACTATTCTATGTTTGCATTTTACCTTTTTTTAAAAAAAACAATATCTAAAAACATAAAAAACACTAGATTTTTATTTCAAATGTAAAAAAAGGAACAAAAAAATACTTGTAAATTATTTTAACCAAATTCTGAAACCCTCAGAAATTACATATAAAATTTTATTTACCTGTAAAAAATTAAAAAGGTTATCAATTTAACAGAATGAGCAAGGTTATAAGATTGTAAAAAAAATTTCCAGCAAAATATTAGTATTAAATTGTATTTAAGTTGATTGTGATATTTAAAAAAGGAAATAAAATTGGTAAATTTCCATAATTGTAGTAGTAATAAAATCTTTTCATTCCTAGTTATTGGTTTCTCTATATATTTATCTAACAAGTGCATTAAAAGAATGAAATGGAAAGAAAGAGTTAAACGGAATAAGAAATTAGCAGATAAATGAGTATTGTCAACCTTCCATAAATCGCTAAGGTTAAGTTCAGGTTCATAACACTCCTTCCTATAATGAGCTACAAAGGGCACCTCGAGAGATTGATTGCGGAAAAAATTTAAGACCTCCCTTATCTTGGCTATAGCAGTCACTGGTTTGGGTTGATAATTAATGTCTAATCCGACTTGACAATACTTATAAAATTCCTGGTCGCTGTTGGCTAATAATGAGGAGGGTTGGTTGGTGGGATTATTTCTTTCATCGTAATCCAGGTTATTCATGGGATCCTGAAATGAGATGAAAAAAAGGATGGAGTAATGGATTTTATACTTTTTTGTTTATATTTGCCAGAATTAGCAGTCTGGTCAATTATTTTATAAGCTTTCTTAATATATCTAGTTTTCCTGTTATTCTTTCTCGTTTTACTTTATTTCTTAAGATATTCAGATCATGATTTGTGGTATCTCATGAATCAATTTCTAATTTTTTCCATGTATCTTTTTTTATAACATTTATTTATTTTCTTTATCAATATGCATCATAAATAACAAACAAATTTGCATGTCACTTTGATCAACTATAAAGTCTATTATTATTATCTATTATGTTAATAGAAACCCATCAAAGGTTTTAGATTTACTTTTAGGCCAAATATAATTTCTATCTATTGAATATCTACCAGTTTCCTGCATTATTTCTTGTCTTATTTTTTTCTTTTATTTAACCTAATATTAATACTATATACCTCATTAGGAACGCTATTAACACCCATTGGTATTTCTTGAATAGACAAGGGCCCGCAGGAAAACGCTCGCTCGAATATCCAATCGGCCTCGCTTTCCAATTCGTTAGCATCCGCAGCAGTTCGTCGAACGCCTCCGCTACGAGTAAGAAATCGCTCTGGCACATCCGAGGCACGTATAGCAGCATCCCGTGCTGTTAGGTGACGAGCTTCTAGCTCGGCAGGCTCATATAGCGTTTGTAGAAGGCGTGAACGGGAAGCAGGAGAGGTCGATGTTACTACATCTTATTGAGTGAATATAAATATATGTACAACTACAACTTAAACATACATTATTTTTCAAAATTAAGGTACAAAAAAAATTAAAAATTTTATTAAATTTCATATTGTTTGCCACGGTGTGATATCAGTTCTTTGATTCTAATAATATTTTTAAATTTTCTTTTTTTCATGGTATTTATGAAAAGGAATCTTGTCCTATGATGAGTCTTCCCGAATTACTTAGATATTTTTCTCAAATCTTGAACAAGTCAGGTGAAGGTATGACTATTTAAATTCATTATGCGCCCTCTTTTTCCAAAATAACATAAAATCAGATAAGCCAGTGGAGAAGTATAATATTCATGCTATTTAACTAATTTCTAGTATATAACAATATTATAATCTGTGGACCAGACTTGTCTTTTATTAATATTTAAGTTTGCTTTACTTTTCAATTAATATAATTTTTTGTAAATTTTATTTCTAGAAGAGTTATATTAGTTTAATTTTTAGTTTCTTTTTATTTTGCAAATATGACAAAAAATAAATAAAAAGACCGGCCTTGGACAGGTTTTTATATTTAGGACTACAGTTTGGATTGGTCTTTACTTCCAATACGATTGCATTGGTCAGGACCAAAAATCGAACCGTTACTTTGAACCAGTTTTTTTATTTAGTAGAACGGTTTAAATAGGTCTCCTTTAAATGGTCTTATACAAGTGCATTGGCGAGGACCAAAAATCGGACAATGACCTTCACTATTTTGATTTCGATTAAGGACAAATAAATTTACCCACTTCAAATCAAATCACGTTGAGTATTATTGAGATTTATGTTATGTTTTTAAAACTCAACGTTAAATGTCCAAACCCATTTATATGAAACAACTTTTTTATAAAATATTACCAAAAAAAAAATTACTATCAAACATGGATTATAGTAGTGCATCAGCTTCAGCTATTCTTTTTGGTGTATGAAATGTGAAAAGTTTGAAATATAAATTAATTTTTATCTAATGAGAACTAGTCAAAATAGTTAGATTCGAAAGAATATTAAACTTTTCAGAAAATTTACATATCATATTTCATAAGGTGCTCAATGATAAAAAAATTTTTGGAGAGAAATTACTTCATAATACTAATAAAAATGATCATTTCCTATATAGTAAAAAAACCTTTTTTCCTTTGGGTCCTCTTTCGTCTTCCCCTTTGGTTGCTATCATGTTGATCAAGGTCAGAGCCATCAAATTCTTCTGCAGAATCATATCCATCCGCACCTTCTTCCAAATCGTCTTCCAGTTCCTCTTCTTCGATTTTACCCCCAGGAAAATCCCCAAAATCGAAATCACAGCCAAACACGTCTTGGGCTTGTTGCAAAGTATCGTCTAAATCGTCATTTTTATATATCGATTTTTAAAAAAATTTAATAGAAAATAGGTAAGAATATTCATTTTATAATATAATATAAACCATACTAAAACAGTTTTTGAACAAAAACATTTTCATTACAAGGAAAGTAGTCTGTATAGGTGATGGAATTTCAGGCAATGAATGCCTGGCTAATTGTTGAGTACTAAAAAAATAAAACTCTCACATTACATTTTTATAATCATAATGAATAGTTCCAGAGTTCTTCCATTTTTTTTAAATTGTCATACACAAAAAGTTATAAAATATAAGGCTTACCATTGAAGCCTCCAGCTCCATATTTTTTGTGATTCAAGGATTTACCACCTCCTCTTCTTTTATCCTGCCCAGCTTGGTTGCGCCTGCGACCACCGTCCATTGTTCTTCACATTATAATTATAAAATTGCGTATTATAACACGAACCATGAAATTTATAATGCATTCGTTTATAAAAAACTTAAAATTTATAGAAGAAAATTTTAAGTACTCATCCACATGATATCTATTCATCTCAAGCAAATTTTCATTTGACTGTGAGAATCATTTATAAATATAGTCTAAAATCCTAAAAAAGTTACATGGTAAAGCCATGAAAAATAGTAAAAATTGTCTTTTCAAAAATTACCTTCTCCTTTCTGCGGCGTCATCAACAATAAAATCAGCCATATCGTCTTCGTCTACATCTATTTCCGAATCATCTGCTTCTGCTAAATCTGCCTCATCTATTCCGAATTCTTCGTCACGCGAAATATTACGATTGCCATTTTTGCGAGAAAATGTTTTGGGATGGTTTGGAGAAGTTTCTTTGGGATTTTGTTCATCGTCACTATTTTCCTTTCGAAGTATATTGAATTCAAAAAGTATGAGAACAATTTTTAAAACAATGGTGACTCCATATCAATCGGACATCAATTTGACTGATTTTTTTAAATTAAATTAACTTAGAGGTGTTACACATGTGTTGTAAAATTTGTATAAAAATCTATTTTTAAAGCTCTACCTCAAATGAATCCAGTTATAGACTCTTAAGGTCCAATACAAATCGGTTTCAAAATTACTTCATAAATATATGGTTCTAATTAATAAATAAAATTTTCTAACTATTCAAGAAGCCTTAAAAATATTATTAGCAAATTATTTACGTTTGAGGCAATAATGAGATAATACCTCACTTTTAGACAACGAAACTTGCTAGTAGATATGCTTATTACCAATATATTTAAATAAAAAATTAAAATGAAGGAAATAAAAAATTTAAAATTATTTTGTTTTTCATAATTTTAGGAATAAAAAAAAACCTCATATTAAAAAATGAAAAATAAATATAGACTGTCATTAAAAAATAATTGTAAATTTTTTTCATTTTACATTATAAATAATCAAATGTATTATAAATTTTTACGAAAAATAGTCAAATATTTCAATTTTTTTTATAATTTCCTGAGCAACATCGTTCCATTTAAGCCACCTTTTAAAAACGGTTAACTCAATATTTTAGCCAGAAAAATATTGTCTAAGTCTATGAACAAAATTTTGAGGCTTACATCCTGGGTAATAGCCGTTTTTGAAAATCGGCACAAATGGAGGCATTTTGCATCACTACCCCAATAGGTCTCTGTTATATATAACTATATTTATTATTGTACAATGATTGAATAATGTTTAGAAAGGCCTATATATTCAGTTTTTAATTCCTAAAATTACAAAAAAAATGAAATAACTTTTCCCCCATTCTCATTCTTACTTGAATATATTGGTGATAAACATATCTGGTGAGTTTAATGATTCTAAAGTGGAGCTAGTTCAAAATATCTTTTTTCTTATACTGGATATTTTGACTGAAGAATTTTTTGAAATTATTTATATTTTTTTGAGTGAATCTTAAGGGCCAAAAAATTATATATATAATTTTAATTTATACATTTGGACAATATTTATCGAGCTTTGAGATTTTTAAACTAGATTGTAATAGTATTGGAACCCATAACACTGGATATAATGAGCTAGAGCCTATAACTTTAATAATTATTTAACCCATTACTGGTTAACGGTGCATATATACACCGTTTCCTATATATCATTTTTAAACATAGTAGTTTTTATTTTAAAAAATAATAAAAAAGGTTTTTATATAGTTTAGACATTGTACCTCAAAACTGGAAAAGAAAAATAAGAAAAAAATTTATTTTGAAGCCCACAAACATGGCGAATTTATGAGGTCTAAAATGCAAAGTCTTCTAGGTGATCTCACGAGCATATTATGAAATTACTTCGATGAAAACTAGTGTATATATTTTTTTTATAAATATATCAATATTTATCAATCATTTTTGAAATTTTAAATAATTAAAATTTTAATTGGTAACCATATAAAGTTGACTGGTGCATACAGTGGCGTATCCAGGATTTTCTTATGGGAAGGGGGGGAATTTAGCTATTCCATTAAATTATTCATAATTTAATAATTATATTTGTAACTATTATTTACTAATTCGTGCTAATGGATATTACAAGCCTATTTTGTATATTTAATAAAGTTTTTTAAATGTGAAGTTGAAATAAAGTTTAATGTCATTTTTTTATAAAATTTGCTTTAAAACTAGCCTCAGCTTAAAATCTCATACAATATAAGTAGAATATAATTTTTTTATTGAAAATACAAATAGTAGTGTGTATAAAATATTAATGTTGTTAAACGGCTCGTTTTGAGCCGATTTTTAAAAACGGCTAACTCAATATTTTCGCCAGAAAAATATTAACTAAACCTCGAAATTTCGATACTATATGTCTAGACCCTTGCTCCTTCTATGAGCAAAATTTTCAGGCTTGCATAATATCTTTCTGGATAAATAACTGAGTTAGCCGTTTTTAAAAATCGGCTCAAAACGAGGCGTTTAACAAAACTATAAAATATTTACTAGAAAATAATTTAAAAAACAAGTTTTTTTAGTAATCGCTTCTGAAGACACATTACTTTTTTTCATGCTCAGCCTTATTTAACTTTTGTATTTCTATTTCTTCTGTTCTACAAAATCGAAGTAAATAAAATATTTAAAAAAATTATAGATATTTATTAATAATTAATATTAAAAATACTTATTAATTCTAACTTACTAATAATTTTGAATTTAATAAAATAATTATATATAATAATAAACTAAATTACCATTTGATTTCAATCTCTTTGACTTAAAATTTTTCCATTTTATTAATATTTTTGTAATAATGTTAGTGTAAGGAAAGGAAATTTTAATAAAATTATTTATAAAAAATAAGTTTTATGTTGGAAAATTGATATTCAAATATTTATAAAATTTTGATTGGGGGGGGGGGGAGGAAGTGGAGGGTAAAATTTTTATTAGCTTAAAATGATATTTATGAAAACAGTCAAATTTGAAATGGGATTGGTTAGGCGCCTGGGTGCATATATGCACCATTAACCTATTTTAAAAAATTCAAACAAATCAAATTTAACATAATGAATTATAATTTTTTTATATTATACTTAAAACTATTACCATTACTAAGGTTGGGAGAGGGGAGGTGGCTCGAGCCCCCTGATAGTTTTGAAAAAAATTTTTATACCCAAAAAAAGGTCTTTTGAAAATAATTTTGAGTCCCCTGAGAATCGAATAATATGTTTCTTTTATAATTTTTTATCTCGACCTAATTATATGAAATTATTCGCAAATATTCGGTTCATAAATATTCGTAAATTAAAATTATTCATAAAAATTTTAAATTATTTGTACCCTCTTTGCTGAACATGTTTTGTCAATTCAATCAAAATTATCAAAATAATAGATGACTAATTAAAAAATCAAGATTCTATAAAATAAATATTTAATTTTTTATTAAAATTTTTAAATGAATCGTTTCTAAAATGACTTAACAAATGACGGAGTTTTACCTTCCGATACGGTGAATTGGAGATTTATAATTCAATTGATGACGACATTCCAGAACCATCTGCTACAAGAAGCTATTCTGTAATTTCTCGCCATTTAAAATGGAGAAAACAGATACGTTATATTCTACAATCCCTTTCAATGGAGAAAATGAAGATAAAATAAAACTTTAAGACAATTTGCATAATAAAAATCCATCAGATATTTTTAATTTTAGGCGAAGACTTATATTCCATAATTGTAGATCAAAGTAATATTTATGCAAAACAAATGAATAGGTCTAATAATGTATAACCATCCCAGATATTAAGAGATTTATTGAAATTCTATTATTTACTGGATATCATTCGTTCCCACAGTAAAAGATGTATTGTCTATAATAGTGATATTTCTATTCCAATAATCCGGAATACAATGACCCAATTAAAATTACTAAATTTGAAATATAATATTCATTTGACAGACAATACTAAAAACATATACATGATAGATTTTATAAAGTTAGGCCTTACAAAACCAAATTATCATATATTTTGATAATTTCTATACCCCAAAACTTTTGTCATACTTAAAACAAATGGGATATTTTACAATTGGAACTGTGAGGGATAATAGAATGTAGCATTGCCCAGTTGAATCTATAAATGCTGTAGCAAAAAAGAAAGAGGATATTATGATTATAGGTTCGAAAAATTAAACGAAATATTTATAGTTTGTTGGAATTATAATATAGTGGTGACGAGGTATTCCAAGAAAATATCTTTTAAAATAAAAATTCCTCAACCAAATATGATCACTGCTTATAACAAACACATTGATGGAGTTGATCTGTGTGATAATCCCATATCTACTATAGAATAAAAAGAGAGAAAAAAAGGGTGGTGGCCAATATTCAACAATTTTATCGATGTAGCTTTGGTAAATACGTGGAAAATTTATGAATTGAGATGGGAAGAAGAGATTGCTTGCATTTAGGCGAGAAGTTACTAATTCCTTTGAACACCAATAAAAAATGGAAAAAAATTTAAGTACAGGGCACACAAGCCAGTTTGCATTACAGAACAAAAACCTTACTGATTCATCTGGAAATTATTTATCCAAAATTATAGATGGAAAAAGACGTAGATGCAGATATTGCCAGCACTCAAAATATATATGCCAAACATGTCAAATCACACTTCATACTAAATGTTTCAAGGATTTTAATAATATATAAACATTTACTCGTTTTTATTATAAATTACAAAAAAATGAATATATTTCTATTGTTTTTTGATCTTATAGTATCATACATAATTTTTATCTTTTTTAAGTTGGGCTCTATATAACATCATTTCAAGTTTCATTTGTTTTTCAAAGTATATCTCATTTTCTTGGTGAATTTGTCATGGATCAGCCCACTTATAAATTTATGGAGGGTTCAAATTATATAGTTTAATACTGATGAAAAAATCTTTATAACAAGCTTTATATTACTTGGTCACTACTATTTTTGGCATTAATCATATTGCATTTAAGACTAAAAAGAGAGAAAAAATTATATTTAGAATGAAATAAAAATTATCTTAAGAATAAATTGTTGAAATCAGAAACTTAGAGGCCCAGCCCTGAACCCAACACAAACGAGGGAAAAAAATCTAAGTCCAGCTTTTTATATAATAAATTTAAATTGTTTCTATTAATCAGTTGAAATCATATCATAGTGTATTTAATATCATTAACTGTGCATATTTTCAATTCCCCTTTAAAACACTACAAAATTATTTAAATTTAAAAAATTTAAGAATTTGATACTGAGCCAAAAAAAATTATTAAAAATAAAATTCCAGGTCTGGCTACCAGGCTTGAAAAATATAAAAATTCTGGGTCAAGCTTTTAAATGGATTTTTTTCAAATCTTGGCCAGGCTTAAAATTCTTACCTACAGGTATCTGGTTAAATTATAATAAGTAATAATATGAATATAATTATGAGTATATTGGCTTAAAATAAGAATACCTAATTGATAAATTTGAAAACTAATGTATTATATTACCTGAAATAATTGTTCGGCAATAATTTTTCTGGAGTCACTTTTTTTAGCCCCTTTTTCATTGTCTGAGTGATGGCCTGTACTTTCATCTCCACTATCCATCCGTATTCTTCTAAATTTTTTCCTTTTTACCTAATTTAGTGATAAATATTAAGGCATTGGAACAGTCAAATAAAAGAAAAATTATTAGGATTTAATAACAGTATCTTAATACTAATTTATGATCTTCATATAATAGTAAATAGATAAATGTTAAAGATTGAGCACATTCAGGCTAGGAAAAAATTATTTTTAAAATCTATTACAATTAAACATTATTGATAACAATTTGATTATTAAAGAGCTGATTCAATAATATTTTTTAAAAAAATTTTGATATAGCTTATATATAAAATTATAGCAATTAAGGTTTTATTTAAATGCTGAAACAATTTAATATACATGCAATAAGTTACTTTTATTCCCAAATTTTCTTCAATCAGCTCATAGTCTTCTTCTTCTAATTCTGCATCAGAAATATTTTTTTTCTTCTTCCTTTTTTTATGTTCAAGATTCTCCCCATCTGTGCTACTAAGGTCTGAATGATTATCAACTATATCTTCATTATCGTCTTAAGATTAATTTATTCATTCCAAAACAATTATTGATAATAAAATATATCGTAAATTTTTCTAAAAACCTATTAAATCCTCTAAATCTTTGTCCAAATCCTCACCCTCCTCCTCTTCTGAATCATCCTCATCATTTAATAAATTTTTATCTATGATTTGTGGATGAATTAATTCATCTTCATCTAAAGATAGTTCAGCTTCTGATTCAACATAATCTGACATGCTAATAATTTATGAAATCTCGATTGAAATTACAAACAAGATAAAATATAATTTTTTAAAAATATAGAATTTATTTAATTGAAATATTTACATATTTCATAATTTTTTTATGATATATTTGTGTAACATGTTTCACAAATCGGTTATTTTTATCTAAATATATTTTAATACGCTATAAATAAATTAGGAATACAAAAAAGGTAAACATAAGCATTTATAAACTGTAATAAATTAATAAATGATTAATTATGTATATTGTATATTAAAAAATAGAATCGAACATTAGAAAAATAAAAATAAAAAATTTGATTTTTAAAATAAATTGAAATATAAATCAGTGGTCGTATTGTTTATAATTAGTAGTTGGTATTACTACAAATGGCGACGATAAATGGAGAAAATAATTCCTTAAATGGAGATAATAATTCCTTAAATGGAGAAAATAATTCCTTAAATGGAGATTCAAAAAAAATAGCGGATTTATCTACGATTAAATTTGATAAATTCGAGTTGGATACTTCTATTCACAGATATTTTTCTCAATGGGAAGCCAGTTTTCGGTTAAAAAACGTAAGCCCATCTGAATGTCAATATAAAGATATATTTTTAACATTTTTTGGCAATAAGAATATTGAGTTGGTGGACCGTTTTTGTTATCCTGATTCGATCGAAACTTTATCTTTTAAGGAAATTAAGTCAATATGTTTTAAACTATTTAAACCGACGTCAACAGCTTTTGCTTCTAGATTTGATTTCGTTAGATTACGGAGAACAACTGAAACCATAACTGAATTTGCAGATAAAATTAGAAAAATTGGCAAGCGTTGTCATTATCTTAATGATATTGAAGAGCGTTTACGTGATCAGTTTATGGTTGGCATGGAAATACCGGGATTGGAAAGAGATCTTAGAGCTTTGTATCCCGACGGTCTTGATAGAGATAATAATGTTATCCCGACGGTCTTGATAGAGATAATAATGTACTGACTTTTCAATTTATTCTTGATCTGGCATTAGCTTCTGAGCGAGCAGATAAAGAAATGGCAAATAAAAATATGCCAGTTGTTAATAAGATAAATGTTAATAACAAAAGAAATGATAATGATAATAATTATAAACATCCAATAAAAACGACGACTACAATTGATAAAGGCTATAATAAAGTCAAGTATAATAATACATTTGATAAAGAGAATAATAACTACAATAATAATAATGATAAAGATTATAATAAACTTAAATGTTATAAATGTGGTTTTATTCATAACCGAAAAGTGAGATGTCCAGCTACAAATGCGGCATGTAATAAATGTAAAAAAATTGGTCATTTTGCAGTTTGCTGTAAATCAAAGAATTTAAACTATATAAGAGTGTCATCAAGTGATTCTATTCATAATATTTGGAAGATTCAACAAAATCGAGAGAATCGAGCAAAACTAACTGCAGAGATAAATGGGTTAGATGTTGAATTTGATTTTGACACTGGTGCACAAGCGTCATTGATAGGAATTGATATATGGACAAGTATTGGGCGACCAAAAATTAGGCCAACCAGTCCATTGACTGCATATGGTGATCATCCGTTAGACGTCAAGGGCGAGACCCAAGTCAATGTTAGGATTGGATCACAGACAAGGACTCTACCAGTGGTAATAATGAATACAACTGGGGTGCCTCTTTTCGGATTACCATGGATTATAGCATTCAATTTAGAAATGCCTCGTCAGGTTATGATTAAACAAGTACGCAATTTGGTCAACAATATTGAAAAAGAAAAATGTTGCATAACACTAGATCCTAGAATTCGAGATTTGATTAATAAACACCAAGAAATTTCGGAAGAGAATCAAGATTCTAAACATGCTTTGGATATTCGAAGTATTAATTTAGATGATATGCAATTGTCAGAAAATATTCTACGAAAAGAGTCGAAGCAAGATTTAATATTAAAAAAAGTAGCAATACATATTCAGCAAAGTTGGCGAAACTTTGATCGTCATAAAGATAAAGAAATAGTTAATTTTTATAATCGACGGGAAGAGCTTTCTGTCAATCGTGATATTATAGAATGGAATGGGAGATTGGTTATTCCTAATAAATTAAGAAATGCAGTGTTAGGAATGATTCACTGGGGACATCCTGGGGAAAATGTAATGAAATCTATTTTTAGATTGTATTGTTGGTGGCCCAGATGTGATGTTGATATAGAAAATTTTATCAAAATATGTTCTGGATGCCAGAAAAATAGACCATGGTTAGAAGTTGATCTAATGCAGAATACCTCTGCTGATGCTATGATAAAACGACTAAATAAATGGTTTGCTAGGTTTGGAATACCCAAGTACAGTGTGTCAGACAAAGGACCACAATTCTTATCAGGAGAATTCCGTAGGTATTGTGATTTAAATAACATACGTCATATACGTTCAGCACCCTATCATCCAAAAACTAACGGATTAGCTGAACGTACAGTACGAACTTTGAAAGGTCGGTATTATGCAACGAGAGATTCAATTAGCGATCCCGAAGAAGCTATGACACAGGTTTTAACAACCTACCGATTGGGAGAGCATAGTTCCACAGGGAGATCTCCTGCTAAAATTATGTTTGGGAGGCAATTGAAAACAAGTCTGGATTGGATCCGACCAAATGCCGAACACGAAATAGTAAGGGCTAATGATAAACAAAGCCTTCATCATGATTTACATTCAAAGGAAAGAGAATTTGAAATCTCACAACCTATATGGTTAAATAATGAAAATACCAATGGTTGGAGAGAGGGAGTAATTAAAGAAAGAATAGGACTTTATTCTTATATTGTTGAATCTTCCGGGAAAACATTACGGAAGCATGCAGATCAGTTAAGAAATCGTTTAGTTATCCCAAATCATGAAAGTTCTTTGGAAGTTACAGAAATGGTTGTGCCAGTGAATGAAGCAAATACAAACACAAATACAAATACCACATTACGTTGCTCATCAAGAAACCGTAAACCTACAAAGAGGTTTATTGAAGAAATCTAACTTTAAATTGTTTGAAGGAAATGTAATAAATTAATAAATGATTAATTATGTATATTGTATATTAAAAAATAGAATCGAACATTCGAAAAATAAAAATAAAAAATTTGATTTTAAAAATAAATTGAAATATAAATCAGTGGTCGTATTGTTTATAATTAGTAGTTGGTATTACTACATAAACCAATCTAAATAAATATGATAAGAAGAAATAAGAGTAATATATATTAATAAGTTACTGAAATACCAAAAATGAATATATTATACAGCGGATATAATTTTGATTATATTTATGGTGTGTCTTTGTCGATGGCGAAAAAATATTAATTATAGGTCTATGAAGTAATAAGATGCCCTAGATCCTTGGATATGTCAGGCATGAGGAAATGTAAGTTGGCGTGGTATATATTATGCTCGTATCCTGCAACATTCTTATTAATTAGAGCTCTATCCATAGCCAGGGTTGTCAGCTCTACATCTGTTACACTCAAAGTAACTACCATAATTCTACATTTTTTATATTTCGGAAATAAACCACAAAAAACTTCCACATTCTGAATTTTATTCAAAAATCATGTTTTTGAAAATTTTTAAAAAATATTTTTTATTGCCTAAAAAAATATTTACAATACCTCTTTCCATTGAATCCAGAATCCCCTGTTCTTAAATCTCTTATGCTTTATATGAAAACCAATGAAAGTTAGGATTTTATATAATTAGCGGTCATAATAAGTTTTACAATGATAAACTATCATCATTGTAAGAAAAATATTCTACTATATTTAAATAAATATTAGAAAATTAATTTCCTAATGGCTAGGAATTTGTTTCTTTTTAACCACGCCGTGAAAAGGGGGTTTTTCCAAAAATCTACCACAATGAATCCTTTTTACCTGGCAACCTTGCCCGTGCCTAAAAGAGATCTAAAGTTATATTTCCTTTAAATTTTCCCCTTCATCATAATTATAAAATGAATTTAGAAAAATATATTCTTAAAAAATATTAGGAGGCGGAAAATATTATATATTAATTTTTATATTATAGTAAATAGAATTAAATATATTTTCATTTATCAAGTTAATGGTGTATATTTAAATTCAATGCATAACATTAAATAAATATTTTATGTTTGCGATTTATTCCATATGGTTTTATAATTATTCGGGCAGCTGGCAAGTTTAGGTTGAAATAAAAATTCTGTAGGCGTACGAAACTATAATTGATGTGGAGTAAATAAATGGATTGAAGACAAAGCAGAATAATATACACTATTACTATGTTTAATGTCTACTATGGCACAATGATTTGCTTGTAGTTTGCAAGTGAATATACCTTGGACCTCCAGATAGATCATATTATGGGTCATATCATACAATTATGTTTATGCATTTATAAGTGAATTCTGAGCCAATATGAAGAAATATAAATTAGATAAAAGAGATAGCATGAATAACATAACGTTTAGAGAGATCTTGAAGGATCTTACCACCAGAAAAGGGGAAAGCTAAAAAGAAAAGAAAAAAAGTAAAAATATTATATAGGTTATGCTTAAAACAATAGTGTGTATATACTATTAGATTGGACTCATGTTTTAAATGCATATAATTAGTATATGCATCGGAGAAAGTTTAGCGCCATTTTGTGGTTTTCACGTCAATTAAATAACTTAATATAATGACCGATAAGACAATTAGTCGACCTGAAATTACATAATGGAGCTACAGCTGACTTTCCTATATATATACAATAGATCTTTATTTAATCAATAAATTGTCGATCTAATAATATATATGCATTATTAATTTAGATAAAAAAATAAAAATAATTATTTATTTACATTGAAGATATTTATTTATTCTGGAATTGAAATTTTAAAAATCATAGAAAACTTTTTCCCATAAGAGTAATTCCATTTTATGTTAATTCTTTATGTTCAAGATCTAATCTGGAGTCTCCTCAACTGAATATGACCATAAAAAATATGAAATTAGATCATATCTATATTATAATTTTCCGATGTCCTCAC